TCTCGTTTTAATCGTGTCCTTGTCCCGCCGATAGATGCAGGAGGAAGGACCGCTCGGCGAGTCCGCTTCACGCGGGTCCGACCGTATCTTCCACGGGCCTTTATCCCCACTAGAATTTATCTCGTCGCGTTACTACGCGCCTACGTCCCCACTAGAACACGGTCCCAAATTTAGCGAAAGACCATTGGTCGATCGTATGCTACTTCTAGATTAGGAACTCCCTCCGTGCCAATCACTATTTTTGGCGGTTCGAGCTAGGCGTTCTATGTGGTATTCACGAAGCCAATGAAACACTCTTCGCTCCGACATGACCATGAATCTTTGCGATGGTGTTTTAGCCAAGTTCAATTGAATCGATTAATATACATATAGACTTTCATGATCGCACAACGAGGCCCGTTTATCTACTCGCGCGGGACCATCTTCATCAGCAAATCTATCAAGAACCTGCCCAATTTTCACACGATTTCGATTACGATTCTTGATTCAATTTGGCGTCATCGTTGTTAATCTATGCAACCCTAGCCGTCCCTGAAACCCTCTGTAGATAGAACGTGCGTTGCCGGCAATAGCAGCAGGCGCTACCCCACTCTCATACTCTCCTGGATCCGCTCTGGTGGCTTCTCGAGGCGAGTACTCTACCTTCGGACCTTCGCGCCAGTGCTCCCCACCGTACGATGTACGGCCAATCCGCGGCGAGGACGCCGGCATGAAGCCTACGCGGCGACGGCCAAGCCGATTCTCGCCGGCGCCCCAGCATTTTATACGGAAAAGACTCTTTAACGAAGCACAAGGTGCGCACGCACGATCAACTTCACGCGACACCACGCGCGCACCGCGTCACACACACATACGGGGAGGCGAGAGTGCGACGAAGACGACGACGCCGACGCCGACGCCGACGCCGACGACGACGACGACGACAACGACGACGACAACGACTGCGACGACCACGACACAGCCATCACCATCACAAAGACCACGACAGTACCGACCACGAGGACTAGTGACGTTTCTGTTTCATCACCATCTCCCTTTCCTCTCCCACGCACTGTTAACCTAGTAAAAGAAACGGGGATCAACTTGGACAATAAAAAA